TCACATCTCTTTCAGCAGGAACAAGAGTTGCAGGTTTACAAAAATAATTTTGAAGCAAAATCTAATTCAACTGAACTCTGCGAAAATTTGAAAAGGATTACAACATATTAATCATATGACGTGGAAACCAAGGCATCTGCAAAGAGCAAACTGTTTCCTGTACACAAGTCATTACCATAACTTTGCAATTCTTGAACCCATTTTTGAGCTCTAACAAATGTTTCCTGGAAAGAAAAAGGTAAAATAACTAGAGTTAGAAAAGGTTTTAAGATTCATGCAAATGAAAAAAAATGAAAATTTTGTACCTAAGTATATAGGTCTAATTAAGTATGCAGTGTCCATGCTTTTACTATTTTCCTTCTTGAAAGTGAGGTTACAAAATCTAATCAAATTCTGTAATGATTTTTATTTGAATAGAATCCAATTTTTCTATAGCTTAGACAATAGAGACTTCTCATATCACACATCTTCTTCGGGATCCATTGCTAACACCATACCAACACAAGAATTGCAGAATATTTTCAAAATTAACAAACTGAAGGCTTACATAGCTGGAGATGTCATAAACAACAATTGCTGCTGCTGCACCACGGTAGTACAAAGGAACCAAACTATGGTATCTTTCTTGTCCTGCTGTGTCCCATATGTCGAACTTTACAGTAGCTTCAGGTAATGATAATATTTGAGTGAAAAAAGCTGCCCCTATGGTTGGTTCCTATTGATTGAAATCAAGGTTCTTAAATTGTAGTAGTTGCCATGTTAGTGGTATAATAACATGAAAGAAGAAAACCGCTAATGATTGGTGAAAGCAAATGGAAGTAAACCTGGTTATGAAAGAATTGGCCTTTTACAAATCTAATTGCTAAACTAGTCTTCCCAGTTCCCACATCTCCAAGAAGCACCTGAAAGGCTTTTTCGTAAGTAAACGCAAGTTAAAAATTAAAATTAGTTTTTGAAGAAGTTGATAGAGAGAACTTCTACAAACTAACTTAATGTATAATCAAATTTTAATTTATAAGAGTAGTTTGTTTTTATTTTACCTTCTTATTTTCTTCTATGCTTAAAGAGAACTTTATTCAAACAGTTGTTTCTATTTCATACTTATTATTAGTTGTTGACAATATACTTATGTAATTCTTCTTCTGATCGCAGCAATTATTGCTTCCTTCATTTAACGAGAATGCACAATGTATAAATAAAGTACAAAATATATAATGCCTTCTTTGTAAGTATTCGGGTCATTATAATAATAATAATAATCATCTCAGGGTTGATTTTTTAGGAACTAGTTGGAAGGGGAAGAACAAGTATAGTTGCAAGAAAATGAGATGTAAGGTAAGACGTTACCCACCAGTTTGGCTTGGATGATCCTATTTCCTGTCCCAAGCCTTGCCATGCTGCTAGGTTAAAAAGTTGTAAATGTAAATGTTGCAGAAAAAGAAGAGGATTTTATGATCAAGGAGAGTATAATTTATTATAGATAAAAGCAACTACTACTACTAGGTAAATAAATTCTTGACTGGGAAGTGGGAACTAAACAGAACAAGGATAGAGACTGGTAGTTGTGTTTAGTGTTGACTGTCAAGTTATTCCAATTTCATAAGCTCATCCAATTTTTGTAAACAATTTGTCCAATTTCATAAGCTCATTCAATTTTTTTTGGTGACACTAAACTTTTTTTGTTCCTATTAATCTCTAGTCTCATGGGATGATTATACAATTTTTGTAACCAATTAGTCCAATTTCATAAGCTCATCCAATATTTTTATACCATTCCGATGTTGTTGTGCTTTTTGTCTTTTTTTCATTTATTTTCACTTTCTTATTTATTATTCTTGACTTTTTTTAGTTATGTTTATTATCCAAATTCTTTTTGATATACTAGCTAAAGAAATTAATGACGTGTGTAAAATTATTATTATAGAAAAGTTTAGGGTTATATACTAGCTAAAAGTTATGTACTGGTTGAAAATAAATTTTTTAAATTTTTCTATAGGTTGAAAATAATTATAAAAAGTATAATATTTATGTTTTAGCCTAGCTAAATTCATGACTCAAATTAAACCAATATAATTTTAATTGAGGTTATTTTAGATCAAATTAACTGGAAAAAAGATCAAAATAAATGTAAATAAAAATTGATTTATTTGCATGTACAAAAAAAAAGATTTATTTACATTTTATTTTATTCGAAACCAACAACTCCCACTATTAGTAATTGGAGACATGTACCCAAAAAAAATTATCACCAAGCCATTATTATGAAAATAAAAAAATATTTTTGATTTAGAGAAAAAATTAAAATAAGATAGATCGAAACAGATAAATAATTAAGAAAATTAAGTATTCATAATTTTTTTTCTAATAAGTCCCTAAAGTATAAAAATTAGTAACTAAGTCCATAATTTTTACAAATTTTTCTAATCAAGTGTATGGATTAATGGTTAGTTACAAACCATTAAGTTGTGCTAAAGAACTTACAAAAATTGAAAAAAAAAACCTAGCGATTTAGTTATAAAAAAAACTCAAAAATATATCATTTAATATAAAAGCTTTGTGAATAAAGTTGATTTAGTGGTAAAAATTAAAGTAATATGCACATAATTTTATATTTAAATTTTATAATTGTCATTATATAATTTTTATGAATAAAAAAATCATAAAAGTTTTGCCTATTAAATGTTTTTATTCTAAAATGAAGGGAATAATATTTTACAAAACCTGTAAATCACAAAACATGTCTCTAATTACTAAATTTTATTTAAGAATAATACATTCACAGGTCTCTTAAACTTTTTAAGTTTTTTTAAATCCGTCCCTAAATTATAGAAATTGTATTTGAGTTCTTAATTTTTTTTCTCAATATTTGTAATTAGATCCTTGTGATCACGAGAATAAGGAACATTATATCAAAGTTAACATATCGTAAATGAATTATAATATGTTTGAAAATTCATTTGAATGGTATATTGAAGGAAATTTTGCACATTAATTTTAATACACAAATGGAGTAGTAACAACAGTGTTAGATTGACTTGAACGTAAGTTTACGTGGATGAAACTAAAAGTTAAACACACTTAATTACAAACATTAGAAAAGATTAATAATTCAATTACATTATTTTAAAAAAAATGAGGTATTATTCAATTTATGTGCTCCCATTTTCTAACAAATGTTCTTGAACATACATGGATCACATATTGAATCTCTAACTACATGTTTAAAAAATAATATTATATATCAATCATGTTACACCTGATTGATAAACCTAAAAAAAATATAAAAATAAAGATAGTGTAATATTTCAGCCAAACAAATTTTTTTCTTTGTTCTTAATTTCCATCCAAAATGTACGGATTAAAAAGTAAGGATTCTTATTTGATTTTTTTTATAGTTATTCCTTCCTTCCCTAACTATACGCATGTTTTCGTTGTCGTCCTAGTCCTAAATTGAGTGTTAGTGTCTGTCTATTCCTTTCTCGTCTCACTCCATCAAAAGCTGCCAATGTCATTACTCTCAATTTCCTTGTCTGAAGTCATTAGATAGGGAATTTACTCAATGTAAATTGTTATTAACACTTGAGGTAACATACGCATACTAGTACAGTGTACCTTGGAATACCAATATAAATTTATATTCAATAAAAATAAATTTATGAGTGCAATTTTTTCTCAACTCCGATTAATTAAGTTCAACTTTGCTTGGCAAACACACCCGTTTGAAGCTACTGTGTGTATATTTCAACCGTTTGCTGCGAGCTGGTTTTTCATCCGAATTGGCCAACTTTAATAACCCTGAACCAGCCTCATCATATAAGAGTACACGTAAAGGAGACTTTTTTGGCGCTACAGACACAAAATGAAAACTTGGCTAAAATAAAAATATATATAACGACACACCCTTTAACAATCTTTCTAGCTAGCTAATACATTTTTTATTGTTAACTAAATTTATATAATATTTTTAATTAATGAATATGTTTATTAAATGTTTAGCTAGTATGTCCTAAAAAAAATGTTTAGCTGGTATTAATATGTCATTGGATTGGGTCAAATAATTATACATGAATCATTTAAATAAAATCTGTAGTTATTAAAATTTTATAGATGAAAAGAAAGATTCATTAAAAATATATTGTCCAGTTTATGAACAAATATTATTAATAATTTGTTGTTATTTATAAATAAATGCAGAAATGGTCTTTAATTAAAAATGTAATAATGAAGTGTTAAGTTAATAATTACTTTACACGTAGTGAGATGGTTAGCTTAACATTATTAGGCATGCAGATTTTACACGCAAACAAACAGTGAATAGGAAATCCCACCAGAATTTCGTGCACGAAGACAAAACATGCAAAACCCTTCATCTACGCAGTAGTAGTGTAGTACGTATCCTTTTCCAGTTTCCGATATATAGAGAGACAGAAAGTGCATGGGAAGGGAATGAAAAAGCGATGACGGTGAAGGCGTCAAGGTCAAAGTACAGAGGGTGCTGCTGGTTAAAATGGACGGTGGCGGTGACGGTGTTCCTGGCGTTGGCGATAGTGGTATGGCCGTGGAATCCAGAACTGAGGATCGAACGGCTGAACGTGAAGCGCGTGAAAGTGCACCCTCTGCCGCCGGTGGGTGCTGACGTGTTCATAGCGCTGTCGGTGAGAGTGCAGAACCGCGGCATGTACTGGCTGGAGCTGACGGATGTTGACGTGGGAGTGAAGTACAGAGGGAAGAAGATGGGGCACGTGGAATCGGAGGGGTGGCGCGTGAGGGGTTGGGGCACCACCCTTGTGGAGGGTGACCTCGAATTCAGTGGCCTTCCCTCCTCCGAAGTGGCCCATTTGCTTGAGGACCTCGCCAAGGGTAGAGTCTACTTTCACACTGTTGTCGAAGTCTCTGGACAAATTGGCTTTCTCTTAACTCCCATCCCTTATTTGTTCAAGGTATTATATTCTCAAACCTCTTATTTCTAACTGCTTATCATTTAATATACTTTTTTTTATCTATATTTCTAAATTAAATTTTATTTTTTTTAAATAAATTGTCAACATATCAATTTAAACTCTTCGATAAAAGTCTAATATATATATATATATATATATATATATAGAATTTT